TTTACATTATTCTGCAATGTATGGCTTTTTTTGCTTTGATTTTTTTTTTTCATTCCTGCTTATTAAAAAGATGTCAAGCAGATTGATCAATGGAAAATACAAAATTGCAGCATATTCTCAGGCAGCATGACATCAATACAGTTTGTTTGTCATTTTTACTGGTTTTATTTGAGTGGCACTGCAGTACAGCTGAGTGGGAAAACTCCAGTGAGGAATTTTCTTAGGGAAAGTTGTCAAAAGCAGTCAGCCTCTTGGCACGAGGTGGGAGTTGTCTCAAAACAGTGAACAGCCCCTGCATCTTCTATAGATTCATCTCAGTTGTGGTAAATCGAATTCCTGTCCTTTCCCTGCCCCATGCCAAAGCCCAGTACTGCTCCTGTGTGTTCAGTGTGGCTTTCTGAGGTGCTGGAACTCTGAAATGGATCTTCCAGAGACACAGTTACTCCACCTGCAAGGAGAGAAAAATGCTTTAGACAATATCCCACATATGTCTGGGCAGGAATATTTATGGTTTCACAAAACATCTGAGAACAGAGGATATGGGATGATACCAGTGTGTGTGTTGTGTATAAATACAGTTATTATTTCATGTTGTTACCTTGGCTATGTAGTAGAATGATACATCTGTTATAATGTGCTGCAAATTATAAATGTGATACGTGTAGTGTGTAAAATCTGTATTTGGGGTTCAAACCTGTTGCCTCAGGGCACTCTATAAATTCCTCTGCTTTAAAAAGTCTGTCTTCTCACAGTACTCCCCACTCCAGCAGTGCTAAGCATCCAAAACTGCTGCAAGTCTGATTTGTTTGACTGATTTGATCATTGAATCCATCTTCAAACATTTTTATTTCATCCTCCCCCAATTCAAATGAGAAGCTGTGTGCTCTCCTCCAGCAATGCCTGCAGTTTTTATCTCCTTTGTTCCAAGCCCTCAGCCCTTTTCAGTGTCCTTTTCCCATTCCTTGTGTGGCTCTTGACTGTAAAACTAACTTGGTTCTTCAGATCCTTTTCCTGTACCTGTTCCTGTATCCATGTGGAAACACTCCCCTGAACTGGGCAATTCTTTGGGCTGGACATTGGGTGTGTTCCCATGCCAGGAGGTGCAGCCAAATTTGTGGAGGTCACTATCACTCCCAGGAATGCCTTCACTGCCATCTGTATCCCCCTGCTCTTTGTCCTTAAACCTATTTATTCTCCATCCTTTGTGCTGTAAGCAATCCTAGGAGAATAACTCAGTGCCTTCCAGCTTTGCATTAGCTTACCCCTCGATAAAAACATCAAATTTTGCTTCTCTGTCTCAGAGACTTCTCTGCTCTACTCCCATTTATTCATTCCTGTTCTTGTTTTGAGGATGAAGAATTCTTAAGTACAATGAGAACAATGTGAATTTTTGTCATCTAAGTAATGGGCTTTTTTAAAAATTTATTTAGATGCAGACACTACAGTAGTCTAGAAATCTCCCAGTATTATTTTTAAAGCTAGTTTTGTAGTCCTCTTTAAAACTAAAGCAATGTTTTGTGTTTGTACAGGGGTCCAGCACATAGAAGCTTTTCTGAATTCAAATTGCACTACTTTATAAAGGATAACATAAAGAATAGGATTCTACTGTGTACCAGAGTTTTTTACTGTATCTTCAGGCCACCCTAACAACAGCTGGGACATTTTTAATCCACAGGTGCTCCAAAGTCAAATACTGTGCTGGCTAAAAACGACTGCCACAGCCTGGCTTGGAATACTTAAATAGCTCAAGGGGAGGGATAAATTAAACTTGCAGCCAAAATCAGGTGGCTTTTATCAAGTGCTGTCACTAAAGACCGGATTATTTGAGAATTTAGGTTTGTGTCCAGATTAAAGATTTGTGCTTCAGATAATCAAGTGATGGAGCCAGCTTTATTTTCATGGTGTCATGACACATTGTGGTGTCTTGACACAATCTCACCTCAATTTCATTTGAAATTTAGGAAGCATGGCAAGTGATACAGACTGAGTCAGTGGGAAGCTATCAGCCTAAGTGGCTAAATTTATTGATGATATGCTGATTTTCTGATATACAGCAACCTGTTAGAAGGAAAATGCTGCTTTTTTTGGTGTATTTAGTGCCATTCCTGTGCTGTCACTTGGAAGAGCTGGTTTTGTGTTAAGGCATGTCATTTCAAGTCATTCAAGTTGAGTGGTTTAAAACCTCCTTGCCCAGTGGAAAAAAAAATCAAAATCTCTTCTTTACAGAGAGATTCTTTACAGAAAGATACAGATTAAGGCATATAAAATTTATATATATAAAATTATGTTAAAGTATACATGTGCCTATAAATAATAATAAATATTATATATTAATTAAATTATATTCATAATTTAATGAATACAAATATATCCTACATCTTTATATATAATTTAATATATTTTATATTTTATAATGTATATTTTACATCATAAATATAAATTAGTATAATTGTAATCCAAATTAAATAAATATGAATATGTTTATACAATTTAATATAAGAATATTATTTCAATCTATTTTATATTATAGAATTATATTTTATATTTTACATTATATGATTAAATTATATATTAAATATATTTCACAGTTACTTTAATCTAGAAGCAGAGGGTCTGAGCAAAAGGAAGTACAGGTGGGTTTGTTTATTTTTGGAGGGAGGAATATTCTGTGAGAGAATGCAGAAGAATTAATAGTTCTGTTTAACAAGTATGAAAATAATTTGTTTGAAGGATATGAATCTAAGGAGCATAAAAGCTGTAATGTGAGTCTGTGAGCCTCTAGAGAATCCTACAGCTTCTGGAAAGTGTAGAGTGCCAAAGGATTACCCTCAAGAAATCAGGGGTGCTGCTTTAAAGCTCTATTTGTCCTTCCTTTGAAATGCATATTTTCCATACAGGTGTTTTAGTTGTTGATTTACCCAGAATGAGAAATTTCTGGTTAACTTCTACCTGACCAAATATGCCATCTGAGAGCCAGCTTCACACCCCTATTTATTGAGAAATGCTATTGTCTGCATCAATTCAGAAATTACTACTTGCTCGAGAGGGTTTTGTAGAGTGTAAGATTTTCTAGCACCAGGCTGCAGTTGGTTTAATTTCCTAGATTATAGGATTTTCCTTTCATGTGGAGGTGTCAGCCCTGTGACAGTAAGGAAATGATAAAGGTACGGGAATCTGGGGCATTCATGTGCTTGGAACTAAAGAGAGTGGGATGTACAACCAGTCATCATGAGCAAACTGAACTAAAGGAAACACGAATTTTTAAAATGCTCTGATCTCTAAGAGCTTAAAAGTGATGTATCTTTTCAGGTTATAATGCAAAACTAAGGTATAAAGAATGGGTACAGATGAATATAATTGATTTGGTGGCAGATGCCCATCAGCAGCTGAGTCTAAATATTCAGTTGAAAAGAAAGAATCTGGTTATTCTTCATACTTCCAAGGGCTATCCAAAAAGACTATCAAGGCATCTGGGAATTTTCACACACACAAAAAAATTGTAGCATTGTGACAACACTATGAAATGTTTTATTCATTGAAGATGTGAACATGAGAGTCAATACAGAAAAAAACACAAATATTGTTAGAGGAAATGAGGAATATGATAGGACCTACAGAAAGACCAGACTAAGCAGAATGGGCATCACCAGGAACCCAAAACTCTGCATTTGTCTGGCAAACACAGAAATGGATCATTCACCTTTTTAGATTGAAGGTTAACTGTGACAGCTCAGGAGAAATACCTGTCTGTGGCCTGTTGTACCTTGTGGACAGTTAAATAAACACTTCCACTATTAACCAAACTGAACAGAAATGCACAATTGTGCTGGATCAAAATGTCCTTCTATGCTTTATCAGCCCAAGCACTGTGCTTGTTTCCTCATCCTCTCATCCAAAAAAATCACAAACATAATTTGAGCAGGAGGTGAAAAAAAAAAAAGTGATGAAAGAGTCTTCTTTTGGGCTTGAAAAACACTGTCCCAGCTAGTGTGGAATTGGGGAAGTGAAATGAGGGACTCACAGTGTCAGCACTTGGCATAGCTCTGGTTTCCCACAAACCCCAAAAGAGATGGGCATTCCCAGGAAAAGTGCCATTTTAAGACTTTTCACTCCTTTCCTAATCTTGCTAACATTCTTCTTCATTCATTTTTTTGTGCAGAATGGCTGCTTTGTGATATTAGTAATTCTAAGAATTGCTGTGCAGCCTGTTTGGCAGCCTGATTGCCCCTCTCCTATCAAGCACTTGTAGAGGGGTGTTTTTTAAAGGTTTTCAGCAGTGAGGTTGTGTTTAAGTTAAGTATATGCTTCAAAAGTGTATCTTCAGATTTGGATATCCTTTCGAGAAATAAATGTAGTGTCTTGTTCTGCTTCAGTTTGGATATGGTGCCACCCTGGGACTGTGCTGGTTGAGCAGAACCTTGATTTGGGTAACACTGTATTTAGGTATTTACAAACATATGAATTCAGAGTTTTGCTGGATTATGCACACCCAATGCACACATCTAGGTCTAGGAGAGCTTTTTTTTGTGAGACCCCATTCTATCTGTCTCCTGTGTTCCTAAGTAACTGAGATATTTTTCTTTGAGAGGAAAATTATGACCCTCAGTTTGTAATTCCTTGGACATTGCTCATGAATATTTGGGTTTTGCCTTAATTCAGATAACATTCCAAAATATTACACGGCAAGTCGTGCTATTTGGAGATAGCAGGTTCTTCTTTGATCATTTTTAAGGGAGAATACACCAAAGTGAATGATGTGCATTCAGCTAAACCAGTAAGACCAGTAAGAGCCAAAAAAAATTTAAAATAAAAATTAAAAAAAAAGGTACAGAAAATAATTCTTAGGGAGTAACACAGGGAATTGTGTTTGTGATATAAGTGAGAATTTTGGAAATATTTTTTATATTCAGCTACTGTGAATAACCTCTGCAGAACAGCTAGAACTGTAAAAGCCCCATAATATGTCCATAATCCTAATGTGTCTTTTTGCTGTTTTGCAGGCAGACCAGTAATGATTGTAGTTGAATACATGGAGAACGGATCCCTTGACTCCTTCCTGCGGGTGAGGTGCCATTTTCTGATGACATTTGAATCAGAAACCATTCTAGGTTAAGATTTTAAATCATTTATCATGAATTAATTTCTACATAATGTTATTCATGGATTTTTAGTGAAGAATAGAAGCCTGTTCCCCGGGGTACATTTCTGACGTACAGTAATACATTAGAGCATGGCTAGGAAAAAAAAAAAGAAGATTTAAACTTCAGAATATAATTGATTTCTTCTACAAAAGTAGTTCCTGTATTTAGCAAAATGTATTTCAAATTGTGTTTTTGTGAAAGAAAAGATAAATTGAAGCATAAATGCCTGGCCTTATGGAAGTGGTTCATTTTTCTCAATCACCTTCAAAAATACTCTGTTATGATTTTTTTGGTTGGTGAAGCGTAGAATATACCCAGTAATTGATTTATAATATTTATGGCTACTTGCATTTAACAAATTGAATTAGAACACAGTTCATGGGTGAAATGTCCTGGCATTAATTAACCCCCAAAGGTCCTTAGCAAACATTAAAGAAGGGCTACAGAAAATGTGAGTAACATGCTGGCAAAATTGTATTTCATTCTTTTTAGAAATGCAAAATGAAAGGATGGTCCCCCTCTGTGAGCTAAACTTATCCTAAAATAGTCTCTTTTTTTAACAGAACCCCTGGAATGCTCCAGAAACCCACTGACCTAAGACCCTGTGTGAATAATTTTAATGTCAAGTATTTCAGATTTGTCTTAAAAAATAAACACCGGCCCTTAGTAGCCCCACTGCCTTCCCATTTCCATCCTGCAGAATGGTAAATCTGGGCTTGTGGGAAGTCTGGGCCCTGTGGGTTTGGGAACTTGTTAGAAAGGGTATCCCAAAGGAGAGACATTCTACAGGGAGCTGTGGAAATACTGGTGTGAAAATCTTGGTGATGGTGACTGAAGGCTCTTCTTTGGTAGCAGGAAGAAGGAACTGGTTGGATAAAAAAAGTGAATAAGCAGGAGAGGAAAGCAGCCAACACTTCAGAAAGATTTACATGAGAGGGGAGAAAGTCATGCAGGCAGTACTTTTTGGGAAGAGGGAACCCACAAGAGAAGAGCAGAAGAGCATTTGGAGCAAGGGATACAGCCCTGAGAGGACAGCAGAGCCATTGTCACAGATACCTCTAGACCCTGATTCTCTTTACCTTTTGGTTTGGATTATTCCATAGTAATTTTTCTCTGATGTTTCTTTGTTGTCCTCCTCATCAACTCTCCCAAATATTTTTTTTTTTCCATTGTCAAGACACATGACAGACATCTGTCATGTTGTCAGAAACATACCAGCAGTTTCCCATGAGAATTTGCTGATTTCTCAAAATCAAGTTATTTTTTATGCAGCATTCAATCTCATCCATGTCTTGGATGTTTAGTTTTTAAGAATTACTCCCCTTTCCTTTCTGGCTCATCTCTCTCTCCATCTGCAGCACAGGAACTGCCCCTGTTCTGAGTACCTCTAACTCCCCTTCTCTGTAATTTTTCAGTAGTTCCCCAGGAAGATTTGTCTGGGCCTGAAACATTGTTCTGTGCATGTGTGTGTGTAATTTCATAGAAGAGAACAGAACCAAGTCCTGAAATAACTGAGAGAGAATTACCTTTCTCTGAACTGCTCTGGTATCTATATTCCAGTTTTATTTCACATGCATTCATGTATCAGAACTGTTACTATTTATTAGGATACTTTAATAGAAACTGGCAGCAGCAGAATTATGATGTTACTGTGGAGCAACGCTTCTCACATTGCATTGGATATATGTGGTAGCAGAACTGCTGGGGGGAAATGTGAGCTAATAATTTCTGCAGCTGTTTTTCATGTATATTATTTTACAGCTTTAATTCACACATCAGATATGGGTTATTCTTCTGAAATGCTTTTTAAATGTACTTTAGATAATATTCAACATCCCAAAGCACTGTAGATATATGTCAGCATTTCTGTTTATAATTAGCAGAGCAAATGGCTGCAAAGTAACCTACTTTAAAAGAAATACAGCTGCTTCATTAATAATGGTTGTTTCCTACAGATATAAGTCCACATTTTTAAAAGCTTTTGTGAAGATACAAAGAAGCAGAGAGGCTTTATCTTCAGCAATCCTAATGAAAGGTGTTCAGTGACTATAACAAATGTTGTGGGATTTGGAAGGGCTTATCACATAGTCTGTCTTTCTTATTATTTAAAGGAATCAATTGTTCCAGTGCAAAGTGTTTTCACACAGAGGAGAAAAAAGTCCATTTCTCACCATAAGAAATATTTCCCCATGTACCACAACCAGCAAAAATTCCCCAGCACATCCCTCCATCTCTCTTTCTCCAAAAAACCTGCAAAAATGGGTCAGTCTTACAAACTCAAAGGGAGACTCTGTGGTGAACCATGTGAGGGTATTCCAGAGGAAGAATTCCCTTTGCCATTGCCCTCCTCACAGCTTTGGTGGGATATTTGCTTTCATCCAGGTTGTGCCACTTGAATCAGAACCCTCCCCCCCACCCTCTAATCTCTCACCTCTAAAATCTAAATAGCCTTCACTTCCTCACTTTACAGACAGCAGTGTCCACTTTCTACTATTTGTGTGGATTTAACAGCAAGCTCAGCTGAATTATGTCTTCCCCACCCCACAGAGTATCCTGTGTGCCGGCTGCTAACTTTGAGCTTTTGAGTAAAAAACATTGGCACAGACTTGCAATACGAAACTGCTTCAGAGCTATTCTAGTGGGAAGGCATCAGCTAATTAGAACCAATTTTGTAAGATGATGGTAATTAATTTCAGTGATTGTGCACCATCAGACATCCTAAATTGCTGGATATACTTGACACTGAATTTTCCTCAGAAATACTGCATTATTTCTGCAATTATATAAAACTCATTTAGAAAAGATGAAACTTGGTTTTTTGTAGTGTTGTGTGGGAGTTTTTTATCATATAAGATTGAGACATGTAGGTTAATCATCCCACAAAAATATACCTGAAATTCTCCATTAATGAGGCAGTTGTCTGACCAGAAATGAGGTTCTTGTGGCTTCATTTCTGGTAATACTTGGAGAGATTTCTCTGAAAAAGGATGTGGGTTTCTAGCTAAGTACTTCCTCAGGGGCTAGAAGACTCTTCCAGGATTACACCAAGGGATTCCAGGCAGAGGAAGTCTGTGCTTGGAAAGAAAGTGGCTAGCCCTTGGGAATTGAGGAGACCCAGGTAAAATTTCCCGTTAGCATCTTCACACAGACTTTGGATGGGACATATTGTTGTTAAATTTTAGTCACCTGCTCGTGTCATGGAGATCTCAGCAATCACTTATTCTGCAGGCATATGAGGCAAACAGTAAAGGCAAGAAGGGTTGAAAGGGCAGCTCTCTGTATTGATAGAAAGATGTCAGTGATTAAACAGGGTGGCTGCAATCAGATGTGTTTGACTGGGCTTGTGGATACAGGCTGCAGAAGAGACAACAAAAAAAAAGATACACGGGAGAGATGCATAAAAACCATAAGCTAGAGAAAAAAACCTTTTCAGCAAGCTGTTTGGTAGTTTGCCCTGCTGTGGGTTGGAGATGTCTGTTGGACCCAAGCCTATGAGATGATTGCAATGATTCCTACAAAAGTCCTTTTCCCGAGGCTGGATTTTTTACCCCAACACATCGTCCCCGACTCAGCCCACTCTCTGTGCTGGTGCCTCACAGATTCACAGATGGGGCTGTTCAGATTAAAATCTCATCTGCTCCATTTTGTTTTCACAGCTCCATCTAAGGGGTCATTCTTGGCTAAAATAATTTGATTTAGCAGATTTAAACACAGAAAAAGAACCTGTCTGGAAGCTGCCTTTTGAAGGAGGTCTGTGTTTGGCTACACAGAATCACGTTAAATTGACCAAAAAATATCACCTGAAAAATAAACTGAACTTCTTTCAGTACTATTCTGCAGCTTCAGACTACCAGAGGTTTTTTCCAGCTCAGTGTCCAGGTGTGCTGAATAGGCAGAGATATTTAGGTTTGGAAGATGCTCCAGTCTTCCCCAGTTTTGCAAATCTCAGAGCTGTAAAAGGAAGGGATGCATTTACCTGGGTTAATCACTGCATCACCTTGCTTTCTTTATTATTGCTATTTGCTGTTGTAATTCTCCTCTTCCTACCCAAAAGCTGGTGTTGATATATTTCCATTCACTTCAGAAAATTAAAATACTTGTGGAAGAAGGTTAGATTTATATACAGGCAAGCATAGTAAGTGAAAAGGCTGCCACACATACTTTTTTCCTTTCAAAGGGTCTATAAGAAATATACTTAATTGCCTTACAGCACCAACTGCAGCAGATTGTACAGCAAATGAAACCCTGGAATTCAGCTTCAAGTTTTAATCCCTCGAGGCTGGCCTAACAGAGGCTAAGATAAGTGTTACTAGATGGAGAAAATATTGTGATATATTCCTCTTTCTTGGAGTAATCGTTATGAAGTTATTCTCAGAGCAGCTTTGCCATCACACTCATCCTTTTTGCAGCTACAGTTTAGATGCTGAGGCAGACACATTTAGCAAGTTTGGGGGAAAGGGAGAGAAGACAAAAATGAAAACTTGCAGCAGATTCTGTGGCTGTAAAATGTGTGTTGTATATCCAGCTAACATGGCCTCACTAGACAGACTAAGCTGTGGGGAAGAGAAGCCAGGTGGCCTTTTCTAAGTTTAATGGTTCCTGCTATTATTTATCTGCATTCAGAGAAGCAGCATCTTTGGAGCTCATAATTAATATTCCCTCTTTTGCTTTCCCATGCAGCATTCATGTGCACTTCAATTTATTAGAGACATATTCCTTTCCTGGCAGGATAAAGGTGGGATTTTGCTTTCAAAAATCAGTCTGTAAAAAAGTAAACCTGCACTGGAAACCTGGAAACTGCTGATACCAATTTTTTAATTTTTTTTTTTTTTAATCAAAATCAGATTGTGCAATTAGAAAGTGAATTTAAAAGAATGCATTCCCTTAACAATGAAATTGTAAGCAGCACAGTATTTAAGTGATTCAAGATTTCAGTGAGAATCTGTCACTGATGCTACAGAGCCAGCATTTGTTCTCAAGCAATGTTTTATCCTCCTAAATGATGTATAAAACATCATTTCTGATGCTGCTGTGAGAAGTTCATTTAGAAATGCTGGGTATTTTTAATAATGTAGATATTGTTGCTTAGACATCAAATACCATAGATATTCTTAGTACCAAGCATCAAGAAATTGTTTACAAACTGTCTTGTATTTGAAGGCAAAAAGAATTTGAAAGGTAATGTGGACTCTCTCAGTGTGCTCTTTGTGAATTTGTCGAGAATGAGAAATCAGAAGATCAGAACAGAGCCAGTGTCTTTTAAGTGAAGGTATTTTGAATGTCTTTTGAAAGAGAGGAAAAAAGAAGCCAAGAAATTACAGGCCAATCAGCTTAATGTCAACTGCTGTAAGATTTCTGGAACAAATTATCAAACAAAGTGTAACCATCTTAAAGATAACTGTGAGATAAGTGCGAGCCAACAGGGATTTGTCAAGAACTAAGTCCATCAAACAGATCTGGTTTCCTTTTGTAGCAGGGCTGAGGCTTTGTGGCAGTGGGAGAAGCAGCTGATCTTGTAAACTTTGGCTTCAGGAAGGCTTTAAAACTCTCTCATATGAGATCCTGGTGAGCAGCCAAAAAAATATGGTCTTCATGAAATTTCTGCTGCATTGGCTACATCCTGTGTGGAGGGAATGGAATTTGGATGGAAAGAAGTATGGGGTAGGGCTGTTCTGCACTCTGAGTAGGATCACTCATTAGCATTTAAAATAAATTAAAGTAATTATATTAAACTGAATTAATGGAATCTATTAATAATAATCAAGACTGCATGGAACTCTGTCAACAGCTGAGTAAAGAAGAAATTATCAGCTGACCCCATTTAGTAGCAAAAATATAAACTTCAGTGTGATTCACGTGCTAGTTTGAAGCATGAGTTACACTTCCAAGAAATACCAAGCTTCAACTTGAATTTTGGGAGATTTAACTTGACAAAGTTCTACCATTTACTTTGCACAGTAAAACTGTGACAATAAATGCACAGCAAAACCTGCATCTTTCTCCCAGTGACCATTAGGAACTGTCAGTGGTGAATATGATCTTAGTTAGACACAAACACACTGTTCTCCATCTAAAATGAGATCTAAATAATCTGCAGGAAAATTTTTAGACCTGCACAGAAGATAAAGGCCTAGAAGTGTTCTGAATCATTTGGCAAATAAATAAGTGGGTTTTGGAATAAATGGAACTCCAGAAGAAATACAGAAAAATCCAATGGCTACGCCTCCAAAAGGTTACTGGGGAGTGAAATGGAAAAAACCTTCTGAAGAACAAAAATTCCATGGGCTTGTTGAAAAGCACTGAACTGGGCACTGGATCTGAAAACTGGAGGGCAAAAGGCAATGAGAGAAACTCTGGATATCCTCCTTCCTCCCCTAGAGTTACTGAACCTTTTCAGCAGCCCATTGTGTGTTAGTGTGAAAGGTCTGTAACACAAGGAGAATATTTCACTTACATAAGGTTCCCAAAAGCAAACTGTAGCTGAATAAAAATCACTGTTCAGGACATCTGTAAAGGCTGCATAAATGCAAGAGCAACCACTCAGATACTGCATCTATACCCAGCTGTTGAGAAAAGTTTATTTAGTAAAGCCATCAAGGCTTGATTAAAATTTAATGGAATGATAGGGTAAATGTGGTGAGTCCACTGAGGTCTGAATTGCTGCCAGTATTGATTAACACCCTTAACAGCCCAGTGGGAATCCTATCAAAAACATATTTCAAATCCAAGCTATAAGAATCAGAATAAAGCCCTGGGTAACAACTATCCTATCAGTCAGATAAGTGTTTTATTTCCCTGTATGCCAAGTGAATGAAACAAGGGAAAGTTGCCAAAGGATTGTACCTGGAGGCTAAAAAAATGCTGAAAATATGAGGCCAGATTCTACCTGCTATAATTTCATCAACCTAGCTGAAATTTCCAAAGGTTAAATATAACTCATAGTCTGTATCCTGATCAGCTTAGATTAAAAAAAAAAAATTTGATGTATTGAAAAATAACAATTTATAGATTGTAAGGGGATACAGCTGGCATGGAAAATGATGCAGAAATTATTACAAAGAGACTTGATTGAGAAAAACTGTTCTGCTGACAGTAAAAATGTAGTTGGTCCAACTGCAAGGCTGGCAGTGAAAAAATATAAAACCAAACATGAGAAAAGAGAGAGCAGAACAGATGCCATAGAGGATTCTGAGAAATATACAGAGGGAGAAGGAGAAAGGAATAAAATTGCAGCTGGTACATTAGCAGGTCTGTCATTTCTTTAACAGTGAAGATAAGAAGCTTTAACTTCTTGTGTCGAGGCAGAAGCCCAAAAAAAAAAAACTTGAAAGAAGGACAGCGAGAATGGCAAAAGCATGAGATTGTTTTAAACTCAGGCATTACAGCTGTCCTCATAAGGCAAGTATTGAGACTTGGAAAGAGCAGACAAAAGGTTATGTTTTATGAAAAACCAGCCAAGCATGGTCTAGATTTGAAAGAGCAGAAATTAAAAAAGGAATGAATGCTTGCAATCCAAGACGACAAAAGGTTAAGGGAGGTGCTGCAGATGACTCTGAGGTTTGTTGAAAAAATGGAGCTGTTAAGGAGGATTAGGAAGAGGTAAAATCTAGAGGTTTGAGGGGTTGGTTATCTCAGTGGTTTTTTGTGGGGGTAGAGAAGGGTTTGAATGGTCATTTTATAATAAGTCAGGTGCTGGCACTTTGTTCCAAATCTTAATTCTACTGAATTAAGCTGAATAGCTAAAAAATATAATCTGTACATGGTAAGTGTGAAGAATATTAACTGTTGGCAGCCAGCTTCATAATTTTTTTAATCAATTGAACAATTAGAATTAGTAAATAAAGGCAAACCCAGAAATCCTATGTGGCCTCAATACAAAAATATTGGCTAGAATTCCTGTCCCTCCTTTACAGGAAGCAGCTTCAAGTAGTTCAGAATATAATATTTTGTCTGTCTTTGCTTAATTGCTGGATGGAATGAGTTTATTTAAAACCTCTCTGACTGGTAGTTTGGGAGTCATTAAAGTGTGTCTTGGCCCTCACCTGAGTGTCCTCTTCAGAGCCACCTGCTCATAGGTGGCCTTGATGGTGACAACCAGGGTGTGGCTTAGGGAGAGCTGCCTCCACTTGGCTGTGGAGATTTTAGAGACAGAAAAGCTTTATTGCCCTGACATAAGGCACTGACACATTCAAGGGGAAGAAATTGTTCTAAATCAGTTGTAAATAGCTGTTTCCAAAGAAGTGTCATTAAACGTGCTTTCTTGGGAGGTGGCTGTGGTGCTTGGCATGGCTCCTTAAACACAAGTGTTGCTGAGAAGTATAAGACAGTGAGGTGGTCTAGCTGACAAGGTGTGTTGGTATCTTCCTTTTACCATTTTCTTTCTGATTTTTGTCATAGTCTTTAAATGTTTGTATCCTGACTAGCTGGATATAGGCCCCAAATCATTGAATCATTATGGCAATGCTGAAATACTTTACTGACCAGGGATAAAGCTAAGCAGAGTTCAGCCTTTTGCTTTGCTGAATCTAATGCATTTGCTGAACTTCCTGTAAGCTTCTCCCCTGCAAAAATCATCTTGCTTAAATGCATGAGCTAAGCAATAGAAGTGTCCTGAATGCTGATCAGAACTTGTCTGTAACCCAGTGCTAAAAGTGTTCAAAGAGAAAATGAAAAGTTAACTTGTTTTCAGGAGTTGTTTTCGTTTGGCTGTTCCTGCTAACATAAAAATCCTGGGTCACTGAATAATCCATGAGAAGCTGAATGTCTGCCAGTTGAGGTCACAAAAATACTCCTGCAAGCAGTCTGCTGTGAATGGTAGATAGAGCAGGCCTGAACAAGGCAAAGAGCCTGCAATCACATTTCTGTGCAGCTCCCCACTGCCACATAATTCAGAAGCTGTCTGATGCAGGACATAAAGAAGTGTTAATTTTGATGCTGCAGATGGAGAAACTGAGGCCCAACAAGGCTGCCCAGCTGGGAAAGTACATTTAATGGCATAACTCTTATTTACATGTTCAACTCCAATAGATTTCAGAAGGTGTTGAGCAGTTTAATGCATTCATGGGTCTGAGTTTAACCTTAATCAGCCAGGAAGATTTTTGCAAAGGTACATGAGCCCTGAATTCCACCCCAAATCTTCTTTTTAATCAAGTGTTCAGAGATTAGGTGTTAGGTGCACGAGCAGCATGAACTAAAGCCCCAGACTTTTTTCAGGTTATTTTGGGATTTTTTTTTAACAACAAACCTTTTTCCAAAAAATACCATAAGAGTGAGGTAACAGCAGAACCTCAATGCATACAATCAAAGCTGAGACAATAAAAAGATGCTTCTTTGTTTCCTGAGACCATGGAATAATCGTTGAAGTCTTGTGTCCTTTCTCGTTCTTGTACTAAAAATAGTGTTGGGGGAATATCTTCATGGTAACCAAGTATGAAAGCAATTAAATGCTGTCAGTAGGAAGATTGTGAAATGTGTGAAAATGTGGAGGAAGGGGGGATAAGCTGCACAATGAGAGATGTGAAGGGATGCACTGCCAAGCAACTTAAGTCCTTGAAAAAACAATCTTGTAAGTGGGCAGCTTTGCTGGATGGGTGACAGAAGGTATTTTAAATAAGAGCTGTGGTTGATATCACTGGAATGAAATAAATGGGAACTAGCTGTGTTGTTTCTTGCCTTGCAGAAGCACGATGGGCACTTCACAGTGATCCAGCTGGTTGGAATGCTGCGGGGGATTGCCTCTGGCATGAAGTACCTGTCGGACATGGGCTACGTGCACCGGGACCTGGCAGCGCGCAACATCCTGGTCAACAGCAACCTCATGTGCAAAGTCTCAGATTTTGGCTTGTCACGGGTGCTGGAGGATGACCCCGAAGCCGCCTACACCACAAGTGTGAGTTTTCTTATCTAATTTGAACAGCTGATTGCCTGGTGCATCTTTTATTCCAGTTTCAGATTTGTGTGTGCCATAGGAAGAGCAGTTGGAATTGGCATTGTTCCCTTCTCAGCCATGTGATTCAGTAAACACACTGGCAGTGCTAAGGGAAGTTGTTTTGATTTTTGGCTAAGGGATGTGTAATAAATTTTGGCAAAAGTTTGTTTTAAGAAAATGTGCAAGTATAAGTGGGAGACCTTTCTCATTCTTGTTTGAGGTTTTGTTGGCTGTGGAGGGTCTTTTCCCATGTTGTTTCCTCTTCTGCCAATTTGTGTTCATTTATAAGGATATATTTGTAAAAGAGAGAGATGGGAGAGGAGAGAATCTTACCAGCTTCACTGTTGGAAGCATGCTGTCAAGCCTTGCATTCATAAATTAGAATTTTAATTTTATTTCGCTGAAGTTTACTTTCTAGCAGAACACGTAGGACCTTCCTTGCATGGTTTCGGTCTCAGTTTATTAATACTTAATTCCTTGTGTAATGAAAATAAACTGTTACAATGGCAAATGGGATTTGGGTGAGGGGAGTTGTGGTGGGGTTTTTGGTTTGTGGTGCTGTTAGGGGGGTTCCAGTGAAGTGAAAAATTTTTGAACATGAAGAAGTTTGTTCAAATGACAAGTCCCAATACACCATTTTTTCCTGATACCAAATTACATTTCAGTTCCAATTATTATCACAACAGCTAATTGCAAGCTGGTTTTTTAGTAACTTTCATATCTATCATTTACACTAAAACTGTTTTGGAGGAAGAGTGCTTTCTCATTACTACTCTCACAAAATGTGCAGAATTTGTTTATTCCCATGATAGGGCACAGTGACAGAATTGTAATAGAGAAGATAAATGAACATTAAATAATTTATTTCAGCCCTTTTTTTTTACTATTTCACTTTAAAAGTGATGTATGGCCAAAATAAGGAACTCATCTAATTTCTCTGTACTGCAGGAAGTATTGTTGTGCATCTACTGAATTCAATGCAGATATTGTAATGGGATTATAGATCTTATATATTTATATATGTAGAATATATATTTACTTTTAGTTTAGGCGTAAATAGAGGTGTTCTGATAATTTTGCTGCAACTTCCATTTCTTAGAAGTTCTATACAGAACTGCAAGCTAACTTAGAGGAAAACAAGTCAGTTTGCAAAGTTTTATATTGGTTTTAATATGCAAGCTGGGGAAAAAAAAGACCCCAGATTTTATTTTATAGCAGAGATTTCCTTCATTTGGTTCTCAAAACCTGCTTTGCTTGTAAGAGGCTTGAACCTCCTCTCCCAGGGAGCCTCAGGAAAGACACCAAATGATAATCAGAGGCTTTCAGCTATTGTTTATCCTCTCATTTTCTGCTGGATACTGACACAGAACAATTAGTTTTACAGAGTAGTTAGTGCCTCGCCTCTTCATCATGGCTAGAGCTGCTTTTAGGAAGTCCTACGTTGTGGAAAAAAACATGACATATTCCTTTCTTCCTTTATCTGTGCTGAAGGACTTCCTTGAAACGTAGAACAGGCTTTGTTGAAATGCTCCCTGTTTTTCTGTCAGCTCACACACCCAGCTGTGTAATGTGAGGCTGTTGTAGGTGTAGAACTCAGAAGTGCTCAGAGCCTGCCAAGGCTGCAGCCAGGTGCTGAACTACCAAATGCTGCTGAGCAGGTACCTAGAGCATCCAGCAGGAGGGGTATCACAGATGCTGATGGCCAGTGACAGGTCCCTGTGTCAGCCAGGCATCCAAGGTGAGTCTGTTTCAACCCTGAACCCCGCAAAGAAGATGAAAAAGCATTGAAACTTAGGTGGGAAAATGGTGTGTGCCATTATGACATGAACTGAAAATTTGTAAATGGGAAGAATTCAAAGCGACAGAGCCAGGTATAAGGGAAATTAAAAGAATTTCAAATCATTTATTCCTTCAACTGCTGCTTTCCTGTCCTTGCAAGTGGCTCCTCACACACTGACTGTTTCAGTCACTGGGGCAGAGCCTGCCCAGTTGTTTCTGTCACCTCTGGTCCCTGGGGAGCCCTGAGAGCAGACTGACAGCTGCACTCCATGTTCTGTGTTACACTCACTCTGTGTGAGCTGGGGATAGCCAGCTTTCTGT